ATGGCTACATAGAAATCCAGCAAGTGTAATTCAATTAGCCCCCTGCACTTTTTCAGATGGGATTTGATAATGGAGGATCATTTGCCCCGAAGTTCACGCTGAATTTTCTTTCTGCTTCTTTCCTTTTTTTTTTTCCCTTTTTTTTTTTTTTTTTTTTTTTTTTTTGATTAAAAGAGTCATTGTGGTTCACTGGATGCTTTTGTCCCCAGGCTGAGAGGTTGCTAGGTTAAGTCCTAAACCATGCTGGAGGTTCATGGCCACTAAAACACAGCGAGATGGCACCTGTAAGAGTGTGTGTCGCTCTGATCTGCTGTATATGGACACAAAAAACCCCTCTTCCCTGCCTGACTGCAGCCCTTCATCTCATGCCATCACAGACCAGGCTGAATTCCTCCTACCCTGTTATTACAGCACATAACACTCAGTGGTTTGGGGTTTTTTATGCCCAGACTCCTGAAGTCACGTGAAGATGTGCAAATTCAGCATAATTTGCTGCTTTTAAAGCTGAAGGTTTTAGGATCACGCCGTGGAGAAGGGCCTGGATGCCTGTAGCTCCTAAATCTTGGGGCAGAACTGACATTTCAGAGGATAGGCTTTAAATTTTTCAGGCTGATCTGGGGAGGAAGAGAATCCCTTCTTGAATTTGTGTCCCGAGGATGTGACAGATCCCCACGTGCTCCTTGTTTTCCCCCCTTAACTAAGGGGAAAAGGCTTTGGAGGTCGCTGCCACACACCAGCCACTGATCCAAGTGGTCCTGTCCCCCACCCCTGCAGGGGGACAGCAGCTCTCTGTGGCTCCCCTTGGATGCTGCAGAGCCCATCGTGGCCAAAGTGGAGCTGCCACTGCAGTGGGAGGAAGCCCCTCCGTGTGGGTCCTCTGACAGGGAGCTGCTCCCACTGAGATCTCATTAATAGATTTACTTATTTGAAAGTCATTATACAGGCAGACAGCCTCATAGATGGAGGATCCCAGGGGCAACTTGTTAGCAGCTGCTCTGTAGCTACATCAAGAGGTTTTCTAACAGTACACAAAAGACATTTGACAATGTCAGAAACCACCGAGAGGGATTAACTTAAAAGAGAAAGGAGGGAGGGGGGAGAGAAAAGCACATTAAAACATGTCTTGGAGCTTATCAGAGATGGAGCAGAAAAACCAGCCAGTGGGGTGTAGAGACGACCAGTGAGGGAACCAGGGGCCAGCCCAAGCAGGAATGGGGACAAGGTTTCTCAAATGCCCCTGGGGAAGCATTTCCGACCGGCGGCCGGGCTGGGTTTTGCTTTGCCAGGGTATTCACACAGGGCTTTTATTTGCTTTAAAGGCTTGGCTTCAAATCCTGCGGGTTTCCTGCTCTGACGTGTGTGCCACAGCAGTGTGAGGGATGGGCTCTGCTCTGGGCCCTGTGCTGGGCCCGGAATCCCGGAATAAGGAATGGTTTGGGATGGGGAGGGACCTTAAAGCTCATCCAGTCCCAGCCCGTGCCATGGGCAGGGATATGTTCCACTCGACCAGGCTGCTCCAAGCCCCGTCCAACCTGGCCTTGCACACTTCCAGTGCACCCACAGCTTCTCTGGGCAACCTATATCCCCTTTTCCTCAAATTCCAACCCCTCAAAGACCGAAGGATTCACTCCACGGTCACTGATACCATGACTCTCAGATACCCAGCCTGATAACGCCTTGAAGGATCTGCTCTCAGCAAGTGCCCCCAGACACCAAACCTCCACCAGGAGAAGCTGGAGGATGAAGGCATGACCCTTGTGAGAGCCCTGGCTGAGAGCTGTGATAACAGATAGCATGAAAGGGAAGTGCTTCGGGGTCAAACGGTGGAGAGATGCTGCGGCAAAACTGCTGAGTGCAGCAGGAGCGCCTGTGCGGCCGTTCTGGAGAGGCAACAACTCGCAGCAAATGAGGGACCTTCTCAGAGATGCTCAGCCCAGCCTGAAAGGAGTTCACCTGCCCGTGCCACGAGCTGTTCAAATTAGAAAAAAAAACAAACAACACAAACCTTCAAAGGATGTGAGAAAATAAAAAATAAAATCGCGGTCCTGGCGAAAATGTGACAGCTGCTACCGCTGAAGGGGGAAGCCCCGATGAGGGGAAGCCTGGCCCAGGTAGTTGAGTTCAGATGTGGAAGAAATACCCCTGGACATCAAGACAAGCAGGTGTCTGAAGGTCAGGGTGGCTCAGCTGAGCAGTGCCAGGCAGGGTCCCACAGCCCTGGAGGGGCTTTGTGAAACCGCTGGCGCAGGAGCCGCCCGAGGGGGTGATCCCATCCCCTCTGCTCTCCCCAAATTTTAGCCCTCTCCCCCTAAAAAAAAAAAAATTAGAATTTCCATCGGAACTCCACGCTGCAGCAGGAGAAAGCAAACACTGGGTGATGCCTTGTAGGTTTTTCAAGAGGTTTGGATGTTCTTTTGAGCTGCCTCAACACAAGTTTGGGAGGAGGGGTGGTTTGCGAGGCCCAGGTTTGCCGTGAGAAGCCGGCACAAAGCCCGGGGTTCTGGGTATGTTTGCCAGCTAAAATGCTTATTTATTTTGTGCTCTGATTTGCCAAAGAGTTTGTCCCAGTTTTCCCACAGAACCATCAGTTTCTTGGCCTGTATCTCCTCTTATCAGGGTGAGGTTTCAGCAATACCATGTGGGTTTTCCCTAAAAAGGTGCTTGCTCTCCTTTGGAAATCCCTTCTCTGTTTTGAACTCCATTAAACCTGCAGGAGGACAGTGAGATCCCGGGCTGCTCGTGTCTCACCACCCCCAAAAAGCCTACGAGGCTGAGTAAATCCACTCAAAGAACCCACCAGATTGGGGCAAATACATCAAAAAAAAAAAAAAAAAAAAAAGGCCTGTGAAATCCATTTTTCTCTTCACAGCTTTGAAAGCAGATGGTGGGGTGGGGCTAAAAGGAGAGAACTAACAAACAGAAAATAGTACAAACACAGTGTAAATAATTCTTCCCCTTCTCCTCTCCTCAAAGTGCTGGAGAAGAGTGGTGTCACAGCTGGTTTCTTCCACCCTGAGCTGAGGTTGTTCCTGCGATTTACAGTCGAGCAGCGCTCGAGGAATACAATAAAAATTAATAATTAAAGTAGGGGAAAAAATAATCTGCCAGGCAGCGTGGAATATTTTTAGCTGATTGCTGGAGTTTGTAGTGGCAGTGATGTAGTAATGGAGCCCTTTGTGGGGAAGCTCCACAGGGATGATTGCAGGGCCTGGGCTTGGCCTGCGATGGATGGAGTCTTCCCACTGCAGCTCGTCCAGAAATCACGCTTTTTGGGGAAGTTTTTTGGGAAGAAAACGTGAAGTTGTGTATCCTGCTTCAGGTCACTTTGCCTTGTGGCACAGGATGGTCCCTGGGGTTTTACAGGCAGCTTTGGGAGAGTTACTCCCTGCCAGGTGAAGGCAGGTTCCTGCAGACCTGAGTACTCTGTGGGCCACTTTCATTCTGAAAACCGTCTCTCTGAAGCCCTCAGTGAGGTGATGAAATAATTCATGCTCTGGAATAGGCAGCCTTCTTTCAGTGCTGAGCTTGGGAAGCCCAGATTTATGGGGCAGAAATGGAAGCTTTGAGTGGAACGAGAGCTGGGAGAGGGCGTGGGGTTTACAGGAACAGCCCCAGCATTGAGACAAAGTCACTGTGGGAATGCCAAGTGCCTGGTTTAAGACAGAAAATGTACAGTTTGCCTTCTTTATAAACCACCCAGCAGCTGGGATACCTCCAGATTTATGTGAGCTCTGGTGTTTCATCCTCTTCAGGGTAGAAGGTAGGCTTGGACAGCATTTTGAACACTCAGATTCATTTATTCCGATCTTGTAGCTGAATTCTGTTGCTGTGCCAGGGGAGACAAAAAGGATTGGCACATCCACAATTGCAGGGGGCAAACAGCACAAACAGACTGCACAGAATTTAGGGCGTGAGCAGGATGGGGGATGCAGAGCCTCTGAGGGCGGGATGCTGCTGTGTGCTGAACCATGTCCATCAGGGAAGGACACAGGGGCACATCATGTGTCATCCCTCCACTGGCACGGTGGCACTGGCGTGGTTAAACTTCACCCTGGGATTGGTAATTCACCCTGGGTCACAAACAGGGACTTGTTTAGGGCCATCAAGTAAAAACAGCCTTGTAAACCGCCTCTGGGGGCTGGCTAATTTATGGAGGGGAGAAACAATATCCCTCCCCTGGTGCCACTTAACTTTTCATTTTATATCTGCAGTAATTGCACGTGACATCTGGAAAAATTGCCGTCCAGTTCCCCAGAGGAAAAGCCGGGGCAGGAGGTCACGGTGCTCCAGGGGCAGCCCCCCCGCCATTCCCTGGGAGTGTCCAAGGCCAGGTTGGACGGGTCTTGGAGCAATATGGGCTAGTGGAAGGTGTCCCTGCCCGTGGCAGCGGGTGGGACTGGATGATCTTTAAGGTCCCTTCCAAGCCAAACCATTCCGTGATCCCATCATTCCAAGGGAGGGTGGGTGGCTTTGTGGTCCCTCTCCCTGAGCACCATCTCCCCCCAGGAACCCCTGGGACAGGGTGGTGGCCCCGGCGCGGGTGACTCGGTTTGCCCCGGGATGGAGCACTCGTGGCATCTCTAGGGAGCAGGACCCACCCTGCCTCAGTTTCCCCACGGGAAAACCAGGAGCATCCCCGGTGGCAGCCCCCAGGGGCGAAACAGGGGGATGGAAACGCCGGGGTCGGATCCCCGCGGGGGAGGGGACCCCGGGACAGGGCTGGGCTCCAGCTGTCGCTCATCCTGGGGGGGGCAGCGGGGCCGGCTGCGGTCCCTACACCTTTAAAAGTCTCCTCACGTTGCGGCGCTGATTATCCATTAACCCGAGGCGAGCTCCCTTTCCTGGGGGTGGCGTTCGCGGCAGCTCCGCAGTAAGAGCTGGCAGCAGGGCGGGCGGACGCGCTGCCTTCCTCCCTTTCTCTCTCCCTCCCTCCCTCCCTCCTCTCCCCCCCTACCCCCGCTCCCTCCCTTATCAGCAATTCAGATTGCATGCAAATCTGCGGGCTTTCTTACAGGGGCAAGGCAGAGAGGACCGAGCGCTGCTCACCGGCCGCGGCTTCACGGAGAGAGATATCTCCTCCTCCTCCTCCTCCTCCTCCTCCTCCTCCTGGGATTTTCCTCCTTCTCCCCTCCCCTGCTCTCCCCTCCCCTCGCTGCCTCGCTCCCTCCTCTCTTTCTTTCCTCCTTTTCACCTCCTCGAACAAAAGTAGCCCTTCTCCCTGCGCCTGCGAGCGGGGCCGCTTTGTCTGCCCGCGCCGTCGGGGGACCGGGACCGGGGCCGGACCGGCAGCGGGACCGGACCGGGGCCATGCGGGCACAGCGGGCGGACGGTGCCCGGGCGCTGCTGGCGCTGCTGGGACTGGGATTAGGACTGGGACTGGCGACCTGCCCCGAGCGGGAGCTGGAGCGGAGGGAGGAGGAGGCCAACGTGGTGCTGACGGGCACGGTGGAGGAGATCATGAACGTGGACCCGGTCCACCACACCTACTCCTGCAAGGTAAGGGGGTGCTGGGGGAACTTTCGGGGCCCCCCCTCCTCCTCCCGACGGGCCCCGGCTGGGTTTAGGGCGCATGTGGTTCTGATTGTGTGCGCCGGGGGCTTTGGGGTGTAATTAGGTATTTTTAGACTGCGGAGTCGCTCCCGCAGCTGTGTCGAGGGGGAATCTCTCAAGGTTGCTTTTTATGGGCATTTCCCTCCTTGCCGTGATGCGGGAGCTGGTTCCCAACTTTCTCTCTGGCTGCCGGGAAGGTGCTCGGAGCAGCTCGCTGCCTCTACCCAGGGCTCCCTGTTTACTTTAGCAGCATCTTGAGTTCCTCCAGCTCGAGCTATTGTTTAACTACGAATCTGGCCTCTGGCTATGGTTTTTTTTTTCCTCCCCCCTAAGCTGAGAGACGCTAAAGTACTGAGCAACCTGAAATACCATCCGCCTGCTTGACAGAAAACGTGCCGGATGGCTTAACCCTTTCCCGGGGCAGGAATCTCACTTGCAAGGACATGCTGCTGCATTGCCTTTTCCTCTCCTCTTCCCCATCCCCTTTTCTGCCCATCCTTAAAAAAAAAAAAAAAAAAAAATCCTGCGGTTCCTGCCTGCGGTTTGGTGCTAAGCAGGGCCTGGGGTGATGCTCAGCGCTGCGTTGGTGGGAGAGCTCTTCTTGGGGCACAGGGGAGGGTGAACTTCACGCCGTGGGGTTGCCCCGTGTTCCGGAGCATCTCCGAGCCCAGGGAAGTAGTCGAGCAGCCTCTGCCTGCCCAGCTGGTGCCCTCCTGGTGCCTCCCGCCTGCTCTGCCCCGCGCAGCACAATCTGTACCTTGCAAATTAGATCACAGACCCCTCCAGGCTCGAGCAGGGACCGTATGTTTGCAGAGTGTCTGGCACATCCTGGGTGCTACGCGGAAAATTAATAAGCTGCTGCGAGCAGCCGGTGTCCTGCGGCACAGATGGTGGGTGGACGTGGCCACCTGAGGCTGGGGCACGGGTGCCACGAGGGAGGTGGTCCAAGGAGGCTGGTGATGAGGCAGAAATGCCCGTCTGAAAGATGAGGCTCTCTGCTCCCTCTGCAGACATGCAGCGAGGTGCCTGGCGGGTGTAAAACCATCTCGCCGCATCAGAGCGAGACCCTGGGCCGGGAAAAGCCGGGATGGGAAAACCTGCTGGCTCAGCAGCTCTGCCTTTGGAAGGTGCAATCCATCCAGCCCGAGCTGGAGCGGCCAGGGAGGGAGCCTGGGCTGCCCGTGGTGGTGGCTTTATGTGAAACACAGTTGGCATTCCTTATCTCGGGAAGGGAATCTCTTGCTTTTCCCTGAGCAATGCTCCTGCTACTCGCTGCCAGGGTTAATGCTGGGATTTTGCTCCTGCCCATGACTAGTGTGAAAACAGCACCTGAAGGCCAGAACATGCTCCCAAAGATCTCATTTCGGTCCTGGAATCCTGTAAGAGAAAGTGAAAGGAGGAAAACCTTCTCGCCTGCCTTAGATGGAAGTGCCCATCCTGTTCCTGGTCCTGCTGTGACATTTAGCACTCTTCATAGAGCAGAGGTTCTGAGCCCTTTACCTGCACATCAGCCTGCTCTGTGGCATTTTTAACGGCATTTCATAGTGTGTTTGCAGGGGAAAAAAAGCTTTGAAATGGGGCTTGGGGTGTCTTAAGGACCCGAAAGCAGATAAATCTCCCCTAACTATAATGACTCGTAAATGAGTAGCTCTGCAGCAGCTGCTGGCTTGTTTCGCTCCCAAGATCTCCCAAAGTGTTGGAATTGCTGTGGATTCTGCTGATGCCGGGTTAGGCATGCCTGGAGTTTGATTTGGGCTGGCTGCTTTGTTTGTTCGGTTTTTTTAACACCAAGAACCTAAATTCCAACAGGGCAGTTTGGGCATTAAACCCGAGCAGTGCCTTCACACGGCCCCTGGTGCCCTGTGGGACTGGGATAAGCCCAGGAGCAGAGAGGATGTGGCTGGTGAGGAGATTCACGTGTGATTCCTCGCTGTCATTCCCTGGTAACCGTGTTCCTCAGGCCCTGGGGTTACCTGCAGATACCGCAGTTATCTCTTGTCAGGCTCTTCTTTATCTGCAGAGGAGAGGCAAGGGCCAAGTGTGCGGTGGGAGTTCCCTGGAGCCCACGCCCAAAATAGCGAGTGTTACTGGTGCTGGGTGGTCTGGGAGGGGAGCAGGCATGTGGATATCTGCGAGTTCTGCACTCGGGGTATTGTTCTTCCCAGTTAAACTCCAAACCCTCCCAGCTGAAGCCTTTGATAGATGAAGATAAGCACCTTACAACTCGGGAGAAACGCGAAGTTAATGTTAGATAAACACCCATAAATTGCTATCAGCCATTCATGTGCTGGGAGAGGAGATGAGAAAGGGAAGAACAGGCTGACAGAACTCCCTGGAACTGGCTGATGTGCCGCTGCTCCGAGGGTTTGACACGGGAAGAGGCGCTGGGCTCGCTCTGCTTCCCCCAAGCTCTTGGTGCTGCTGCTCATCCTCTCTGTTGGCCTTGTCCTTCCTGCTCTGAGCCCTCTGATGTGCCTTATTCTGGGCTGGCCCCACGTTTATGGAGGCAGCTCCTATTTATAGGACCAAGCCCAGGTTCTATATGTGCTGTAGGAAGTGCCGAAAAGGATGTGGATCCTGTCCCAAACAATGGAGTTTTGGGGGGTAACTGAGGCTGTTCTCCAGGCAGGGGGGATGTGGAAGTTGCTGGGGGAGGTGGGTTTGGTAGCTCCTGGGGAAAGGGCAGCTGAGAGTGACAAAAAGGGGGAGGGGGGTGGGATGTGGTCAGGAGGGAAGGGTTGGGCAGAGGGAAGCTGCAGGCGAAGCTGATGCTGGCCTTCATCTCCCAGAACTGCCAAAAATCTAGTGGTGACCCTTCTTCCTGCTGTCCATCCAGGCATCTGCCAGAGGAGACTGCTCTAACTTCTCATCCTGCTTTACAAAAACCATTTCTTGAGGCATATTCCTGGCAGGAATTTGGTAGCACTGCACAGGTGGTCCCCTTTCCCTGTGACATGGACCCCCTTCCCCTTGGCATGCTGGAAAAAATCCTTTTACTTTCTGGGTTGTTGGGGGGGTTTTTTTGCCACCCTTAAAATACACCCTTGCAAGGATCTGCTCGAATAAAGTTATCTCTGTTCTTCCTCTGCCTCCCTGGAGCTGCCAGGAGTCTTGTAAAACAGTCTTAATCCAGTGTTTTATGTGCTCCCTGGTAAAGTTGTGAGTGAGTCTGTGTAGGAAAGGGACTTCTTGGGAATAGGTTCCAGCCCAATTTTCTCTCTCTCTCTTCCTTTTCTTCCCCAGTCCTTGATGCAGCCGGTGAGTCACCGGTGACAAAGTCTTAATTGTGTGTGATGATGAATGGGATGCCCTACAGGTAATTGCTTGGTCTTTGGTGCCTTCCCATCCATTCATTATAGAGCAGAAGGGTGGGGAGAAAGCTGGTGGACTCTGATGTTGCTTGTGAGTGCTGTGGCCTGGCTCTGAGGTGTATGACTGGAACAGCCATGCCAATTAACTCAAATTACCATCTGCTGCAGAACGAGGTGAAGGGGGGGGTGTAGGTGGGCTTCAGCCTCCCTCCCCCCTCAGCCCTAGCTGTGAAAATGCCCCACATCCACCTTTTGCAGCATCAGCCTCAGGCTGTGCTTTCTGCCTGCCTGGTGTATTTTTTTTTTTCCTTTTTTTATTTTTTTTTTCCCTTTCCTCCCTTTTGTCTCCTTTGTGTTCCTGGGTTTTTTTTTTTCGCCCTGGTTGCTCGTGCACCTCTCAGAGCGCCTGCCCTGCGGGTGCTGAGGAGGAGGAGGAGGAGGTGGGGCTGCAGGGAGGTGTCTTGACTTGACTGCGGGGAGAAGCACAACCACGGGGAGCTGGGCTGCTGGGAAGGGCTGGAGAAGCAGCTGGTCCCTGCTGGGGGAGGCAGGAGGCTGGTGCTGGCACGGGCTTGTGCCCCCCAGCACCCCGCTCAGCTGGGGTGCCACGGCTGCAGGAGGCCCCAAAAGGCTCTTTGAAAGGGGCTGCCCCGCGTGGTGGAGCAGATGTCAGTGTGGATGGTGGCATCCCTGTCGGGTCAGAGGGGAGGGAAGCTGCCTGTCCCAGCTCCCTGTGCTGTCTGAGGCTCCCCCTGGGTGCTGGTGGAGTGCCATCTCTCTCAGGAGTGGAGCTGGTGCTGGCAGGGCCGTGCACAGCAGGTTTCTTCAGAGAACTGTGGAGTGGTTTGGGTTGGAAGGGACCTTGGAATCACAGAATCACAGAATACCCTGAGTTGGACCCACAAGGACCATCCAAGTCCAACCCATGGCCCTGCACGGACACCCCAACAATCCCACCCTGTCCCTCAGAGCGTTGTCCAAACCCTTCTGGACCTCTGGCAGCCTTGGGGCTGTGAACAAACCCTGAGGAGCCTGTTCAGTGCCCAACCACCCTCTGGGGGAAGAGCCTTTCCCTGGAATCCAACCTAAACCTTCCCTGTCACAGCTCCAGCCGTTCCCTGTCCCTGCTCACCAGAGAGCAGAGATCAGCACCCGCCCCTATAAGGAAGCTGCAGACCTCAAAGACCACCTCATTCCAACCTCCAGTGGCTTTGAAGGCACTGTTATCCCTGTCCCTCTCCTTGCCCTAGCTCAGCAGCTCGGATTTGTGCTGTGCAGGGCTCGCCTTCTCCTGAGTGTGAGGTGCTCTGGTGCTGTGGAAAGGCTCAGCACCACCCCAAGGGCTGCTGACTCCCTTGGGGCTGGCAGACAGATGAGTGTGAGAACACGTGGGTAACCTGTCTGTAGCAAACCTCTCCACGCCTGGGAGCAGCTAAGGCATGTGCAGCTTCCAGAGAGGAGCTGTCACAGCCCTGTTTATACCTGGGGTGGTTTTTGAGCTCAGGTATGCAGGAGAACAGGGCTCACCTCGGTAATGGATCTGTAGCTGGGATAATATATTGTTGGACTTGCCGGGCTGGATGGGAGGCTGAGGCCCATAAATCCAGGGTTCTTCTCCAAGGAGGACAAATGTTACACCTTGAGGAGGAGGTGTGAGAAACAGGAGGATTTGAGGATGAAATACCTTCTTAAACTTTGTTCTTAACCTTCATTTGTACTTGTCGAGTACAGGCAGCACGAAATCTGTTTCCCTTTTCCTGCTTGACAGGTGAGTCTGGCGCTGAGCAGGAGGGTCTGACCCCAGCCTGCCTGCTCCTGTGGCAGTGGGAATGGCCCTGTTCCTACTGGGAATGTCTCCCTGTAGCTGCCTGCTCCTACCTGTGGCAGGGACAGCGAGCAGGACTTTGGCTCAAGATCTTTGTGGCCCTCGAAGCCTCTGGATCAGGACTGAGTGCCGAGCTCACTGCCCTGAAATCCTGGAGTTAGGGCTTCAAAACCAGACAGGATTGATGACAGGTCAGGAGACTTGCATTTCCCCTACCCCCCCAGCAGGCTTTTTTACCCTCCTGTTTGAACTCTGCAACCTCAGATCTTCACAGGTGCCTTCTGCAGTCACCGAGGGACAGGATGGAGGGATTTGGCAAAGAGGAAGAGTCTCTGTGTCTGAAGGCTCTCACAGAAGCCTGCAGGGGAGCACAATACACTTGGAGGGCCATGTAGGGCAGAGGCCACTGAGCTGCAGTGGAAGAGAACTGTTAGAAATGGTTCATTCTCAAGTGGGATGAAGTCTGCTCTGTGCTTTCCTCCTCAGTTGTAACAATTCCCCCCCACCATTCCCAACCCCAGTGTCAAGCACAGAAGCTGTGGTGTGAACAGTCTGCTTCCCTGCCACCCCCCAGAGGGTCTGCCTAGCTGCCTGTGAGCATCCACTCAGCTAGGGGCTGCAGTTAGTGGCCACTAACTCTTGTGGCCAGGACTTATTTTTATGCCTGAGGTTCAGATGAGAACAGGGAGATGGGCTCCTCCTGCCAAACCCTCCCTGTGTTTTCCCAAATCCAGCTTGCAAGGGTTTTATTTGGTAATTTAGAGGAACGTGAGTTAACTTTGATGTTTCTGTATGCAACATTATCTGCTCTGCCCTTGTGTTCCCGAGGTACCAGACTCCCTTCTTTCCTCTACCCAACCCACCTCCCTCCTCCTGCCCCAGTTGGAGGCTCCTGTGCTGCACTTCAGAGCATCCCCCGTGGATGGACAGCGCTCCCTTTAGCTCTGCAGCCTTCCCCAGCCGGGACTTCCAGCCACTTAACGTTCCTTTTATTTTTTTTTCCATCCAGAAGCGCTTTTCTCCCCGCTGAGCTTTCCTTGGGAGCCAGAGCAAGAGGGCCCTCACGAGCTCTTCCCTCTTTCTCCCCCCCTTCCAAAGGTGAGAGTCTGGCGCTACCTGAAGGGCAAGGACATCGTCACCCACGAGATCCTGCTGGACGGCGGGAACAAGGTGGTGATCGGCGGCTTCGGGGACCCGCTGATCTGCGACAACCAGGTGTCCACGGGGGACACGCGGATCTTCTTCGTGAACCCCGCCCCGCAGTACCTGTGGCCCGCGCACCGCAACGAGCTCATGCTCAACTCCAGCCTCATGAGGATCACCCTGCGCAACCTGGAGGAGGTGGAGCACTGCGTGGAAGGTGAGGCTGCTGTGGGGCCTGGGCTGTCCCCGGGGTGGGGCTCCAGGATCTGTTGGGAGAGTGGTTGAGGGAGCTTGGTGTGCTCTCGGCCGCTGGAGAGGAGGAGGATGAGGGGACACCTCGTTGCAGGCTCAGACTTACTCGTGGTGGGGAAGAGAACCCCAGGGAATGGCCTGAAGTTGTGCCAGGGAAAGGTTTAGGTTGGATCTCAGGAGAAGGTTCTTCCCCCAGAGAGGGTGGTCGGGCACCCCCTGGGGTTTGTTCACGGCCCCAAGGCTGCCAGAGCTCGAGGTCTGTCATCTCTTTGGATGATCCTCTCGGGCACACGGTGTGACTCTTGGGAATTGAGCCTGGGCGGGGCTGAGGGTTGGTCTCGAGGATCCCTGGGGGTCCCTTCCAGCTCGGCAGATTTTCTGGGTTTTCTGTGACCTTGCTGGCGATGGTTGATGATGAGGATCAGCCCTGCTGTTCTATGTGTGTCCAGGGTAGAGCCACAGAAAGTTCCAGGGTCCAGGAAGTCTGATTCATTGCTCCCATCTGAGCAAAGGCTGGGTGTTGGACAGGTAGAGGTGAAATGTGATGGAACTGTGAAGTGAAAGACACAATCCCAAAGTACTCTGAGTGGGAAGGGACCCACAAGTTGAGTCCAGGTCTGAAGTGAATGGCCCTTACAGGGATCAAAGCCACAACTTTGGTGTTGTCAGCACCAATCCCAGTTTCTGGGATTAGTCTGCTCTGTGGACTCCTGTCACAGGGACAGTGCCTGGCATTGACCTCGCTGTCACACAACCCATTTTATGTTCATTTTACTCTAGATCTGATGCATTTCCAGCCCTCTCTGTGACGTGGTTGGAGCATCCCCACAGCGGGTCCTGTCCTGGCACAAGTGGGTGGCAGGCACTCCCTAGGGAATTTAGGCTGCTCCCACCTGCGTTAGATCTTCCTGTGGGTTTAGAGTTAATGGGTTAATGCTGGGGTGAAGGCCTGTTCTTCATCACAGTGAGCCCTGGCTTCCTGTGTCTTGGGGAGCTTCCTTGGAGCCTTGTGGATGAACTCCTGCAGGGATCTGAGAGGCCAGACAAATTCTGCTTGCAGGTAAATCGTGCTTTTCCAGAGTATAACTAAGTCAGAACCAGTCTTAGACATCCAGGTGTGGAGTTGTGCCTCTGTGAAGAGCAGATAGGCGGAGAATTGATCTTTTTTTCTCCCTTTTTCTTCACCCACCTTGTGAATACTCTGTCATAACCCACTCCCTGGTTTCCCTCTTCCCCCTTTATGCTTTTCCTGGTTCCAGCAAGAGCCCCAAGCCCAAGGAGGGGGACTGTGGTGCCCCCAAAGCCCTTTGCCAGGCTCTGAGTATGTCCTGAGAGCAGATGAGTTAGCATGAGGAAGGAATGCAGGAATTCTGCACAGACAACAAATAAACAGGCGGGTTTGGCTCCCTCCTCCCCTTGGATGTGCAGCAGAGAGGCCATAACCCCTTTTTCCAGCTGTGATTGCTGACAGGGGTAAATGACCCATCTCTGGGGCTTGGGAGAGAGCTGGTTCAGCAGAGTGGGGTTTGTGAGCAGGAAGAGCACTGGAGGCTTTCTAAAAGAAAATATATATATCTGTAATGGCTGGTGTGTATTTTGGGGGACTGGAGAGGGCTGGAAGACAAAGGACATGTGTGGTGGACCCGAGTTCTCCAGACTGGTGGAGATCTGCCCAGGGTGGGTGTTGTTGAAAAATGACAAGAACAAGGTGAGCTTGACTTACTGATATCTCAGGTGGGTTAAAAGTGTTGCTCAGGGTGGATGTGGTTCTGATTTTGGCATCCACCTGTCTTGGCAGCTGCTTCACTTGCCTTGGTAAACCCACCTTTTTTTTTGTCACTGTCCTATGGACTTGCTGCTCTTCCCACATCTTGGTCCTTTGTGTATCCTGCAAAGCTGAGCACGAGCAGGATTTTTGCAGAGAGCATGGACCAAATTCACCCCCAAAACTTTTGTTTTCCCTTGAGCCCTGTCGAAGCTCAGGCCTCCCCTGAGGTCTGTGGAAGTCCCTTTCAGCTCACCCACTACACCTGCCCACCTGGCTCCTGGAAAGCCCTGCAAAACCAGGCCTGAGAACCTGCTCCTGCCACCCTGGGAACCATTTCTGAGCTCCCCCAAGTCTGAGAATTTAGCTCCAGGACTTGTTTCCCATCAGCTCCTCGCAGGAGGGGTTCAAAGCGAAGCTGCCCAGGACGCTGCTCTTTGCTGCACTTTGAGTTTAAAAAACAAACCTTTGAGTGCTTTTGCAGAAAGAATTGGAGGAATGGCAGCAGCTGAGTGGAAAAACACGAATGTTTTGAGTATCTTCATCTCCTGTTGCTCCAGCTTGGAAAAATCCTAGACATCCAAATCTTGCCTGTCTTAAGAGGGGAGTTCAAACCAGGGCATCTCTGTGAAACAGCTCAGGTCGGGGTGAAAAACACCGTGATTTGATTATACTTAATTGTGGTAAAAAAAAAAACAAAACACAAACCTCTTTGACCAGCTGGAGTTGAAATGCAGGACTCCAGCTGAGCTCTGCAAACTGGCTCCAGCACTTTTGAGGGGGGTCTGGAGGGGGAGTTTTCGGTGCTGAAGGGCAGAGGAGCAGCTCTGGGGTTGGGAGTGGGCAGAGCAGGCTGTCTGCTCTGGTCCCCCACCTTTGTGGGGAGGTGAAAGTATGAAAAGGGGACAGTGGGAGTGGATTTCCTCTTGTTCTTTGGGACGTCTGCATGGGGCTTCCCAGGGAAATAATCTGGAGTTGCTGGGCAGGTACCGGAGCATCCCAGCTCCCCTCTCCTGGCTCTCCCCTGACACCACCAGCCACGCTGCTCTGGAGCTCAACAGCTGACTAACCTCGAGATATCTCTCCCCTGTGTCAGTGTGTCTCACAGTTCCCTTTGATCACGACAGCACTTGAAGGAAATCAGGATTTTTGTGCACGGCGACTCCTCACGGGGCCGTCCGGGTGGGAGGAAGCTCAGATTAAAAACCCTCGTTAGCTCCTGGGTTAATGAGACCCCAGAGCTCCTCTTGGGCACCGCCTGGCCGTGGCACAGTTTGCATTAGCACTGGTGTGTGACTGCCTTGGTGAGCCCTGGGATGTGTGTGCGGGCTTGGAACCTCCTGGGAAAAGCCCACGTGAGTTGGAATTTTTGTAGGGCTGGGTGGTGCTGGGCACAGTGATTGAGGGTCCTGCTGGTGGTTTGGGACCCTCCTCCCTGCAGCATCTTCAAGAAGCAGGACCAGTGTTCAAGGAGTAAGCACAGCAAGGCTGTGGTTTTTGGGGGTAATTATTTCCTTGCAGGAACCTCAGCTTCGAGGTGACTTGGAAAACAGAGCCAAGTCAGGGGGTGGTTAAGCCTGTTGGCCAGGATGGATCTGCCTGTTTTTGGGGCCAGTGTGTGGGTGATGCTGTGCCTCCCTGATGGGAATTGTTCCAGCGAGGCTGAGCACTGACCCTCTGTGTGTGTGCGTGGAGCAGCTGTCCCAAATCCTGCCAGGGCTTACCTCCTGCCTTCCCAGGATGCTGGGAGTGTCCATGGCTGGGGCTTCCATGATGTTTGGTGGCTCCTCTGCTGCTCCCCCTGGGTGGGCAGTGTGGTGGGTGGGTGTCGTGCCAGGACAGTCACCTTTGGGGGGTGTATGTCACCCAGCCTGGGAGTGGAGGGGGACACAGTGGGGTCTTGGAGCACTGTGACCACAGTGGGTGGGCCTGTGGAACTCTGTTCTGTGTGGATGCCCATCACAGAGCTGCTCTGGCTCGTGTTCAGCACACAGTGCATTGCAGATGCTCCATATGTATGAAAAAGTCACATAGTTCCTATTGAAATTCTGATCTTTGGCCAGTCCAGAACTCTCCTCTGACTTCTTTCTTTCATCTCTGCAGCAACCCCATGAATTACTCCCGTGGAAGAATTTCACCTTCCACATTTCCTCTCCTCCCAAGCTTTCTCTCATGCTTGCTGCTTTGAGAGCACCTCCCTTTAAGTTCCACTCTCCATTCTGTTTTGTCTTCTGCCTGCTCACTTCTATTCTGTCTCCTCTCTTTCTTTTTAGCCCTCCACAGCACTGAGGCGTTTTGTTCTTGTAAACCAGCCCATGCAAAATTTCCTTTTCAGGCTCCTTGCAGAGGCTCTGAGGAATGCACAGTGGGCTCCTCTCAGCAAGGAAATCGCTGGCACGGGTCCTGCCTTAGGTGATTCAGGCTTGTGGTCACTTCCCATGCCCTGCTCTCCCTGCAGCCCTTCTCCACCCCTGCAACTGTTTCTTTTGAATCCAGCCCTGCCATTTCATTGTGCTCCAGAGCAGGCCGAGGGAGGGGGCTTGGAAGAGGCTTGATGTGTGGGTTTCTTCTTAAAGGAGGTGGTTTTTTTTTTTTTTTCCCCCCACTTTTCCCTTCCCTCCTCTTCTTGGCTCTGTTTTGAATCAGAGATAATGAGAACAGCATCAACACCTCCATCCCAGGAGGGTGAGAGAGTCAGGCAGCAGCTGTGAAATGCAGGAAAGGGAGAGGAGGGGAGTGGAGAGGGGAGAATCCACCTCTGGACAGCCCTGGGGGGCCCCCTCCTGCCCCCCCAGCCCTGCAGCTCAGCTGGATGCTGGGGCTGGAGCAGGTTCCCTGCTGGAGCTGCTGTGTCAGGCAGTGTGGAGAGCAGGGGGTTATTTTGGGGGATTTCCTGCTGTACCAGTGATGGATGGAGCCTGCAGAAGCCCCTGGCTGGGACAGGGGTTTGCAGGAGCTGCTGGTGTGGGGGGCTGTTTGCTCCCTCCCTTGTGTGGCAGTAATGCAAAACATCCCCTGGCCTGGCGGCAGGAGCTGAGAGAGTCGATTTGTTTAGCAAATTCCTATGGAATTTTAATCTGGTGTGGGAGGCTACTGGTCTGGGAAGGCTCCTTTGGCCCTGCTTCCCGCTCTGGCACATCCTGCTGCATTTCTCTGCGGGATCAGGGGGTCCCTTGGTCAGCAGCACAGATGCTGCTGTG